GTAAATTGAAATTCCAAGTGGAAGCATGTGAAAAATGGTCTTGAAGTTAGGCAAAAATCCTGCCTAAAATGGTTCAAAATTTCTCTAAGTTAAGAATGGTTTGGTACCCTTGTTCCAAAAATTGTAACTTGAGCTACAAGCTTCTTTTGAGGAAACTTTGTGAATCAAAGTTGTATATTTTGCAATGGACTACAACTTTCATGTTTTTACTTTTTCTTGAATCCAAATGCATCTTGATGAGAAAGTGGAACAAAGTTAGGAAAAAATTAGGGTTTTTCATAACTTAGAAAAATTCTAAGTTATGAAAAATCTTCATTTCAAACCCTAATTTGTGATTTTTGATTTCTTGATGAACAAGTTTCATGATTTGGCATGTTTTGATGAAAAATGGATCTTGACACTTGATTTTGACCAAAAAGTCAAAGTTTGACTTTTCAGTATACAGTCAAAATTGATCAATTGACTGAGAAATTCAACTGTCAATCTTGTGCATTTGGGATCTTTTGGACTTGTTGAGTATGTCAAGACAATTCCATGGGGTCCTTGAGTCCATATGTGAGCTTGGTTTGCCATTGGCTAGGTCAAACAGTCAAAAATTGCCTTTGTGCAGTCAAAACCCTAAAAATGATCATTTTACCCTTTTGGTGATCTGATCAAATTTCTTGTGGAATTATGATCCAAACTTTATCAAATGGTTCATATGAGTTCATTATGTTGATATGGGTCAAAAATCATGAGGTTTGACTGTCAATTGGCCACAGTTGACTTTTTCCCCAATACAACTGATTTCTAGGTCAACTGTCCAATTGACTGGGCAAAGTTTGGAATCAAGACTTGAAACTTGGTATGGATAAACTTGTGAGTCCAACATGAAGCATGAAAGTCATATTAGGCATTTTAGGTCAAAATATCTTTGTGCAAACACAAACCCTAATTTGGGTCAACAGTGCTAAGAGAAGTCTTGCAGAGAAAAACCTAACTGGATCTTTGAGCTCCAAGGGTCTTGTGGTGAGAAAATGTTGAGAAAATGGGAGGGCAAATTTTGGGGTACAACTATTGTGTTTATATAAACGGATGTACAGCCACCCCAGTGGTAAGACGGCGCGCGTAAATGCTATAGGTCACGGGTTCGAGCCTTAGCGCGCTGGCTTTTGCAATTTTCTCACATTTTTGCCATTTTTTGTCCCTTTGCAACGCTGGGCTTTTTGTTTCATGGGCCTGTTGATTTTTTCTAACCTCCTACCCCCTGTCTGCTTGTGATACCCCTAGCCCAATATATTTTTATTATTTGTTTTATTTTCATTTTTATTATATTAAATATATTTTTTTTAATATTAAAAATCATTAAAAAAATATAAAAATGATAGATTTATATTTTAGTTTATTTTATTTTATTTTTCTCACAAAAAATATTTTATTTAGTTATATATATTATCCATTTTTTATTATTTAAATTTGTAAATTAAATTAGAACTAGTTTAATATTTTATTTTTTCTTTATACCCATTAAATATTTATTTTAATATAAAAAGACCAAAATACCTCATAATGCCATGTATTATTTTCAAGAGAAAAAATACAAAAATGCTTACTTTTTCTTAAAGAAATTTATTTTCTTTTAATCAAATAGAATTAGGGTTTATTCAAAAATCTTTTCTAAAAAATAATTTCTTTTCTTAATTGATTTAAGTTAATCTTGATTTATTTATTAGGTTTAGGTTAAAACTTTTTTCACATAAAAACCAAACAAAAATCTTCTTTGCATTTACATATCTTTGCATATTTAATTCATCTTGTATATTACTTATTCTAATATTTGTGTATATTCAATTTGGTTGTAATAGATTAATTAGGTTTATATTATTGCAATCCCCATTCATAAATTGTATACCCCCTCCCACAAATATTGTAATAGCGTAGTAACTTTAAATTTCGCAATTTATCGCTTTTACATAACATGCTAGTAACTAGGGTTTTTATGGCAAGATAAAACCAACCAAATAGAAAATCCCAATTCAAGGCAAAATCAAGCATGAAAATGACCCACTTGCACACAAAACACCCCCTAGGGTTATCCCACTTGGTTTCCTTATATAAAAATGGCCATATTACGCATGTAAGGTGTCTTAGCAAAAACAAACAAATACAAGATCATAGTCCCTCGATGACGCTATCCAAAGTTGCCTTATAAAATGATCTTAGTCCCTCAAAAAATTCTAAGATACCTTGCAACATTGCTAGTCATGACTATACGATGACCCACGCTTGTCCCGTTTACATCCAAAGATAGGGTTGCTTACCAAATCAATGGTAAGGCAACAATATCAAAGGAAAAGAAAATGAATAAGAAAGACATTTGAGTAGGTAGAATGCTCCTAATTACTTGATCCATTTCAAAACAAACATCCTTGCTATTTTCAAAACAATCACATACACTTTCAAACATCTTACAAAATTGAAAACATTTTCAAAAGATCAAACATCTTTGTATACATTCTTACGAACGAGAATCATTACAAAGATTATCTAAACGATGGCCTCTTTACAAAATACTTTCAAAACCACACAAAGCATAATTTCAAACAAAAGCAAGTGATCTAGCAAGTAACTAAGAGCCCATGGAAAACCATGGATGAAAAGGGTGTTAATACCTTCCCTTTTCATAATCTACCCCCCGAACTCAAGAAACAATCTCAAAGGTCTTTCCTGTACTTTTTTACCTTTCATTTTTAGATAAAAGAAAAGTCGGTGGTGACTCTTGCTAACCGCAACATTTGCGATAAAACACAAAACCTCAAGTCAGTTCTCCCACCACATCACATCCGTCTTCTTATAGAATATCATAGTAGTCTCGTAATAACCGAAAACTCTACCGAGCAAGAAAAAATTATGAAAGCTCGGTGTTACCTAATGATATTATTTGGCCATTTTTTATTTCCTGAAACAACGGGTAATACTGTTAATATCATGTATTTACCCTTGTTAAGACAATTTGATAAAATAAACACATATAATTGGGGTTCAGCTGTTTTGGCCCATTTGTATAGCTCTTTATGTAAGAATGCATCGAACGGTAGTTGTTCTTTCTATTCTTGCGCCTTTTTGCTTCAGACATGGTGCTGGTCGAGAATGACGACCCTCGCCCCCAGCAACACAAGGCCATTCGTCTTCCCCTTTGCTACAAAGTAAGATTATAAAACCATAAATTTTACATATTATATACCGAGACATGTAGTGTATTAATTTATTACCCATTTTTTCTATGTAGGTGGTCTGTTCCTGGGATGAATTACAATAAATACCCTAGAAACACAATAGTAGTCTACCAAAATCTTATTGATCATGTTGAACCCGAAGAGGTATTAAACATATATATTTTATACAACACATTGAATATTTTAATTAAGTTTAATATTTTATATAACTTTTTTTACTCTACAGTTTGTATGGAGGCCGTATAAGGATCTCGACCATGAGATTAACCCTCCTGATGATGAAGTCTGGACTGCAAAAACAGCACTCATCAGGTTCGCTACTGTGGAGATGCACCACAATGATCGTGTGAAGCTATAGTTCGGCATGTAACAGGGTATCCCCGACCCCACAACATGTTTGGGCCAATGGCATCTACTCCGAGTTGACGACCAGTGGGGATTTAACGATTTGAGAGACTTCGCTAAAAATCAATGTCGTCAATGGAGGTATAGACGTGAATTGGTCCTAAGGGAGCCGATCTTACAAGATGATTTAAAACTGATGCTCCAATATTTAAGATGGTACACATCAGTTTCAACAAATTTATTTATGTCTCAAGAGACTTATTTGATTGACCCCCGCCAAAGAGTTGCAACATACGCCCAACAACAACCCCAACAACCAACCCCTCAACAATACCATACCCAACAACCAACCCCTCAACAATACCAAACCCAACCACAATGTCAACCCACTCAAACCCAATAATCATACACCACCTCATTCAACCAAACTCGTCATCAATTCATGCCACACACACAAACACAATACCAAGAGCATGACCCGATCCACCACCAACAATATGCACCATCTTCATCCTACCACAATACCCAAGATACATATGATACATCTCCTTCCTACCATACCACTCAACCTTCATACGGTCAAACATCATACCATCGAGGTACCCAACCATCATACGGATTTCAGACACCACAAGAACCGTTGCTTCATTTTCATCATGATTTAACATCCCAATACTATCAACCACCCCACCACCCACACATATCCCAACCAACAAGACCAAACTTCAACAATATGGGCACCGATCTCTTTGGAAGCACAGCTCAGTGAGGCGAAATGATCGATGAGATGTATGATCCTGATATACCAGGACCATCACATCAAGCACCTCATAATCAAGCAAGTCAGAACAGACCACAAACACCTCAGGAAAATCAACAGAGAGGAGTGAAACAAGGGGCGAGGCAAAGGCGCGGCCGTTTATGTCATACGGGGACCCGCTTAGGTTAAGGGGACGTCCATAAAAAATGTATCCATGCGTTGTATAATATTAAATATTAATATAAAATATTTTTAATTTTTTTTTTAATTTTTAAAAAAAAATTGCAATTACACTGTCAAGTCAAAGAGTGTGGCGCCTCCTCTCAAAAACACATGCATGCGCCATACTGCATGACTTTACAGAGGAGGACAAATCATGCAGTGTGACGCCTCCTCTTTAATTTGAGTGCATGCGCCACACAGAATGGCGCCTCCTCTGTGTGGCGAAATTTTTTTATTTGAAAAGTGATCATTTTAGTAAAATTTTTGAAAATGTGGTTATTTAAAAAAAAAAATTTAAAAAGTGATTATTTAAAAAAAAAATCCGTTTGTTATCTCTAAAGTTAAACCAAAATGTGTTTTGGTTTAATATGAGTTCACCAAGTCTACACAAAGACTATTCAACAAAAGCTATTTGCTATAAAAAAATATGTGCACCAAAATGAATATAGAATCCAAACATGGCTTCATCTATGCTTCTCTTTCTCCTCTACTCTCTCATTCTTCAATCTATCAGTGTTGCAGCTCAAACCAAAAGTACTATAGCCATTGGTGATTCTCATACTGCTGAATCCAACACCTCCCCATGGTTGCTTTCACCTTCTGGTGACTTTGCCTTTGGTTTTCTACCACTTAATGACACTAATCTTTTTTTGCTTTCCATTTGGTATGCAAAAATCTCTGAGAACACTGTTGTGTGGTATGCTAATGGCGACAGTCCTGCACCCAAAGGGTCGAAAGTTGAACTCAATGCCAATGATGGGTTGGTGCTAACTTCTCCAAATGGTGTCGGGTTATGGAATACTACTGAGGTACTCAATAGTGGAGTTTCTCGAGGTGTGTTCAATGACACTGGCAATTTTGTGCTTCAGGATGGTAATTTCAACAATATCTGGGAGACTTTCAAGCATCCAAATGACAACTTGTTGCCTTCTCAGGTTATTGACAAAGGTGGAAAGCTCTCTTCAAGGCTTAAGGAGTCAAATTTCAGTAAAGGAAGGTTCGAGCTCCTTTTACAAGATGATGGTAATCTTGTTATGCATTCTATTAATTTACCATCTGGTTATATTAATAAAGAAAACTACTATGAAAGTAAAACTGTTGGATCCGATACATCAAGTGCTGGAACTCAATTGGTCTTTGACAGATCAGGGTACTTGTATGTCTTGGGAGAGGAAAATGAGAAATACAATGTGTCAGAACAAGAGAGTGGAGTCTCTACCATAGATTTTTATCTTAGAGCAACTCTTAATTTCGATGGAACGTTCACACTTTTTAAGCATCCAAAGAGTTCAACCGAGAGTGAAGGTTGGACCATAGTGTGGACTATGCCTGATAATATATGCACTTATAATGTTGAGTTAGGTAGTGGTGTTTGTGGATATAATAGCTTCTGCAAATTGGGAAATGATAAGAGACCAACATGTCAGTGTCCAAACAGATACTTACTGGTTGATCCTGATGATCCATTTGGTAGCTGCAAGCCTGATTTCATACAAGGATGTGCAGAAGATGAACTAAGTAAAAATAGAAATGATCTCTATGTCTTTGATACTTTGACTCAAATTGACTGGCCTAAAGCAGATTACGTGCTTCAAAAACCTTTTACGGAAGAAGAATGTAAGAAATCTTGTATGGATGATTGTTTTTGTTCTGTGGCTATTTTCCGGTTAGGTGATAGTTGCTGGAAGAAGAAGTTACCACTCTCAAATGGGATATATGATGCCGCCACACTTAGTGATGCTAAGGCCTTCTTGAAAGTGAGAAAAGATAATACCTCCTATGTTTTTCCTCCAGCTCCAATCATTGTGAACAAGACTAATAATAGGGGAACTTTGGTCTTGGTTGTTTCTGTGCTTTTTGGTAGCTCTGCTATTCTCAATGTTGTATTGAGTGTAGCAATATGTGTTGGCACCACCATTGTTTTTCAGTACAAGAAGAAGCTTAGAAGATTTAGCCAAAGTGATACTGGTGTTTCAACCAATTTGCGTTGCTTCACTTACGAAGAGCTCGAAGAAGCAACCAATGGATTTGACAAAGAGCTAGGAAGGGGAGCTTTTGGTATTGTTTATGAAGGAGTAATCAATAACAACACAAGTTCTGAAACTCGCGTGGCAGTTAAAAAGTTGAACAGTTTTTTGTTGGATCAGGCTCATAAGGAATTTAGGAATGAAGTGAATGTCATTGGTGTCACTCATCACAAGAACTTGGTTCGTTTACTTGGATTTTGTGAGAGTGGACGTGAAAGATTGCTTGTTTATGAGTACATGAGCAATGGTACTTTGGCACATTTTCTTTTCAATGCTGATGATGAGAAACAAAAACCAAGTTGGAAACTAAGACTAGAAATTGCAATAGGGGTAGCTAGAGGTCTTGTGTATTTACATGAAGAGTGCATCACTAGGATCATCCATTGTGACATAAAGCCTCAGAACATACTTCTTGATGATAATTTCAATGCGAGAATTTCTGACTTTGGATTGGCCAAGCTGTTGAACATGAATGAGAGCAAAACCAATACTGGCATAAGGGGGACAAAAGGGTATGTTGCAGTTGAGTGGTTTAAAAACATGCCTATCACAGCTATGGTGGATGTGTATAGTTATGGAGTAGTGCTACTAGAGATAATTTCATGTAGAAGATGTGTTCAAGAAATGGATCAAGGAGAAGAAGAGAAAGCTATATTAACTGATTGGGCTTATGATTGCTACAGAGATGGTGCTGTAGATGCACTGGTTGAGGGAGACAATGAGGCATTGGATGACAAAGGAAAGTTGGAGAAATTGGTAATGATTGCAATTTGGTGTGTACAAGAGGATCCAGTTCTTAGACCAAGCATGAGAAATGTGATACATATGCTTGAAGGTACTGTTGAAGTGCAAGTTCCACCATACCCCTCTCCTGTTAGTATTCAATATTCTCTAATTTAATAAATTGGTAAGCAAGGTTGGCAGAAGATGCTAAATGTTGACATTGTTGTGTTTTATTAATTGATTTGGATTTTTGTCTATGCTTTGGTTTTATTTTATGTTCCTTCAACATTAATTTTTCTTTTGTATGAATAAAGATTACACACTTTTTTTTTTTTTGGGATAAAGTTAACTAAAGTATAGTAATCAAATGTTATGCACAAAAAATGCATATGTTAGTAATTTTACACTGTATATTATGAGTAATCTAACTAATGTTTACTAGATAAACTATTTCAAAATCAAAATCTATTGGCAAATATTTTAGAATCGCCTTCGAACATAGGAAAGCACCCACTTCAAGATAAAGGAAAGGTAGTTGTAATACACTAAGGCCATGTATTGCTCTTTTAAAATCGGAATGTATATCACATATTCTAGTGTCTTTCAATATATGATTTTGTAACATTCAAGATTAGACCTTGGAAGCTCCAAAAGCATATGAGACAATCTCTACTACAGAGTACAAACCCAATCATCTACATGTAATAGGTAAAAAGTCATAATTTGTTGAAGGTCCTCAAAGAAAGGACCTCCGTCAACCATTATGTCTTCGTCCATCCCCCACAACTCTTTATCAAATCACAGTTTTCTATTCCATGTGAATTGGTTGGCATGTCGTTAGGCTAAGATAAAGTTTGGTAATACATGTGTACGATTAAAGTAGAAGAATATCACTATGTGGATTTCTTAACTGTGGAAGAACGTGCATTAACTCAACAATCCTAAAATTTCTCTTCACAGAAACCTCTCGATAAAACCTATATTTCAACTAATAAGCAATATCACCCCTAACACCAGCCTCCCAATATTCGAAAGGCTCCCCACCACCACGATGTTTACTATCATCATATGATGACCAAATGATCTCAATCTTACGAATATTCAATTCAAGGTATAATCCTGAACTCATCTTCCGGATGATGTCAAGGGCTTAAGCCACCTTCTCTGAGTATGCTACGATGGTCTGATCATCAAGATACCAAGTATAAAGAAAAAGCTTTTAACTATCTATGATCTTATGAATAAGAGAGTGTAACACAAGAGAAAAAATGAGTGGTATGTGTAACACCCCAATTCTACCCCAAGCAATTATGCAAGATAAATCAGAGTTATAAAATTTCAATCATACAAATGAATCGGGACGTCACAAATTCTTCTAACAAATTCATTGCATTCATCGTGGATATATAACACTTTTTCAAACATCGGATGAACCATCAACATAACATCTTTAATCAAATAAATCAACATCTACGCAGCGGAATTCTTAATAACATCTCTAACAACAAAACAGCAACTTCGAAACATCACATATTTAATAATAGTCAATTTAAAGTTCAACAACTGAAAATCAACAATCAAAAACAGCAAGCATTCATCCCCCCGAGTGTTACATATCAGAGCAATGACACCGATTTGAACTACCAAAGGTATACAACATTCACTCTCGATTACCTGCACGTTACCAACATAAGAGAAACATTCAAACAGAAGGGGTGAGATATCTAACAATATAATAAAGCGCATGATAATTAATATATTAAATTAGATCAACAACATCACCACTTCTCATCTCATAATCAACGACAATCTCAACAATAATATACATTCATCAACATCAAAATACACTTCTTCATGAAATTGTATAATGCGACTCAATACTATGCAAATGCATGTGGTACCATTGGAGCAGAACTCCCATCTCAAAAATTTGCCAATTAATAGAGGCATCAACAAGGCATAGCCTTCATCTCAAAATTTGCCAATCCAGACCATCTCAACGAGCATAAGCTCCATCTCAAAAAAATGCAATGTATGCGACACAATCATGAATGTAATAACGACACCCAAGTTAACAACATCTCAAATCATCTCAAACATCTCAAATTAACATCTCAAAATAAGATCTCAAAGACATCTCAAATTAGCATCTCAAAAACATCTCAAAGACATCTCAAATTAACATCTCAAAAACATCTCAAATAATCAACATCTCAAATCATCATAATAATTTATTAAACATCATTTATTTATTATAAATTATCAACATAATATTATTAATAACTTCTCACTAACAACTCAGCAGTATTTTAATTTTCCTAGTACATCAACACTGTCATTCTACAACTCTAACGTCAAAACCGACACCATCATACTGTTATAGCTCAAACAACAGCTTCTAAGCATCTAACGTCCATATTCTGTACGAAAACAACGTAAAAGCCATCCCAACTTCTGACCACGCAGCCTCTAACCAACACCATCTCTAATACGCAGCTTCTAATGACACAACCTCTGGCGGCACAATCTTCTGACTACTATAACTTCTGACTAATCCCCATCTTTTGACCAGATACAACTTCTGATCAATGCAACTTCTGACTAATCCCCATCTTCTGACCAGATACAACTTCTGATCAATGTAACTTCTGACTAATCCCCATCTTCTGACCAGATACAACTTCTAATCATCACAGCTTCTGACTAACTCCCATCTTCTGATCAGATACAACTTATGACTAAAGCAACTTCTGATGACTCAGTCCTCTGACAGCATAGCGTCTAACCCATGCAATTTCTAACATCAGAGTTTCTACCTCTCACTAAGCCACGCAACTTCTGACAACCTACGTCTAACATCAAAACTGTTATTTTCTATTCATCCTATTGTTCTAATTATTTGCCTGATATCAACCTAACTAAGAACAGTATTGACAAATTCTATTCTCCAAATTAACTCATTATTCTAAAACAGCAGCGCCTGGTATCATTCTAGCATAATTCTGCGTTTTCATTATTGTTATATCCTACGCTTTTCATCACTGCATCTCACTACGGCTCCATAACTAAAGCCCTAAAACTTATTATAATCATGTCAATTCATCACCCATAATTACCTTATAATTCTACAGCGTTTTAACAACATCAAGACATCAATATTCATAAAAAAATCATCAATTCTTATCATACATCAATCATATATTCTCAATTCAAGAACAAGACAACAATCACCACTAATCCCACATATCAATCTTCATAAACTCAATTATAGAGTCAGAACCCCACCCTCACCTTGGATTGAAGGTCGCTCTACAATTTCCGATTGGATTCTCGTTCTTGCTGTTTTCCACTTTCTCTAGCAGTTTGCACGTTCTCTTCCGAATCCTTATTCTTTCTACTGCTTCTTTCCTTCTATTCCTTCTAACAAATAATGAAATAACCCTATTATTCTATTATTCTTTATTGGGCTTAAAACCAACACACACCCTTATTACTTCTATTCCTTCAAAATAAGCCCACATTAAATAATATTACACTTCTAATATTATTTCACCACATAATATTATATCTCTAACATTATTTCTCCACTTAATAAAATAAATCCAATTTAATTATAACACATCTTCACAAATATTCCAAAAATAATTTAATTAAATAATTAATTAAATTACGGGCGTTACAGTATGTTCTAGTGAAGGACATGATATGTTATGTGGCAATAAAAAACTTAAGTCACAAAGAAATTGATGAGTATCTCGCTCTCACCTCACACAATAATGCATTCAGTCTACCAAGTTGAAAGCATTAGAGAAATCTAATGTAAGCATAGTCAAGGAACCATCCTTATGATCCTTGCTCAACACCCTGTTTGCAATATGCAAAATTGACTAAGCACCACCTAATACCCCGACCTCAAATTGAAAGTTGTTGTTATATTTTGCCACATCTTTACTGTCCCCCTTCACATTTGTATTGGATATTAGAAATGTGCAAATAGAATCTGCAACAATAGGGTGTATTCCAACATCATGCTTTAATAATCATGCCAAGGGTGTAGAAGATACACACTATGTCAAACTCACAAAGCATTTTCCTCTTAGACATAAGCTAATTAATAGAGTGATTACACATATCTTGTCACGTCACAACTTTTTCCACACAATGCGTCTAATATAGGTGGACTCATAAACCATCTCTAGCACATGATGTCTCTTTGAGAAATAACTTAATACACTTAAGATAGTGTCACCTTCAACCCAATAGCAGTTTCAAAGAACATGGTGGTCGGTATGGAGAAAAATGACATGTATGAATATTTAGCTTCTAAAATTCTAAAATTTTCACTATATCTCTATTATAGAGGGTCACTTCCAATGACTCCAACATTTTCACAACCGTTGTAAAGTGTCTAACAAAAACCTTATGGAGATAATATCTAATGTTAACACTCATATTTTTATCTTTCTCCTCATCGAACCAAATCATATTGTCTAAAACTGCCTAATACATGGTCAACTAATTTGGCAAAACTATCAACTTTTATTATTTAAATATGTTATAATATAGTGAACAAAGGTGTTATTACTTCCAAATTAGAGAAAAGCAAAAATAAAAAATTCCATCATACTTCATTCTATTTTATCTTTTTTAATCAATAATAAAATATAAATATTTTATTTTATTCTATCAATCAAAAGATAACATAGTCCCAATTGTACAATCACAGTGGTTGGGAAAATGATTCCCTACTTTTACAATTTTGTGACACTGATATATTTAGTGCATTATTAATGATATATTGAAATGAGAGAAATATGTTAAAATATTAGATATAATTTAAATTATATAATTTAAATTTAAATTTAATTAAGATTCATTAGTTTATTTAATATATAAATTAATTATATATAAATAGATTAATTTATAAATCAGTATGTAACAATTAAATTTAATATTACTTTATTATCTTTCATTCTTCCTTCACTGAAAATGCTTCAGCACTTACAAACCATAGGTAAGAGAGACATAGAGAGAAAATTATCAAAATGTATGTTAAAACTATATACGAGACATTTCCAAAAAATATCAACTTTCAAATATAGATTTTAGTTATTTACCATGGCTTAACAAAAAGGTCATCTATTTAGTTTTCTATTAATTAAGTACCAGTAAATTTG